ATTTATCAGCACAAATAAAACACACACACACACACACACACATATATATATATACACATACATACATACATACATACATACACACACATATATGTATATGTGTATGTATATGTATATATATATATATGTGTGTGTGTGTACACACACACACACACACACACACACTGTTTTTCTTCACTGCTGGATGCAGCCCAGAGTGACAGCTGAGATGGGAGGGCCGTTGACGTTGGACCGAGAGAGAAATAAATGCCGGCATCCGCCCGTTTTCTTTAATGTGGCGATGACGGATGCCCAGGATGTTGCAAGGCCTCCGATTCTGGTTCCACGGGTGTGACCACGCCACCCACAAGGCATTGGGGCAGGCCGGCCTTTCAACCCCAGCCAGCTGAGAAGGGAAGAGCGCAGACTCCGGTGGCCTCCTTCGGCCGAAGATGCCTCTACCAAGGGTTTATTTGGGCCCTCGGTTGCCGCCTCCCCTGTTTCACCACACCCCCAAATCGACAGGTAACCAACCTGTGCAGCTCACCAACTTTGCATGTGTTGGATTGAACCTAGAAGAATAGAGCTGGAAGGGACCTTGGAGGTCTTCTAGTCCAACCCCCTGCTCAAGCAGGAGACCCTGTACTATTACATACAAATGTTTGTCCGGTCTTGTAAACCTCTAAGGATGGAGCTCCCACAACTTCTGGTGGCAAGCTGTTCCACTGGCTAATTGTCCTCACTGTCAGGAAATTTCTCCTTAAATTCTTCTAAGGAGAACATAGAATGGTAAGGTTGGAAGGGACCTTGGAGGTCTTCTAGTCCAACCCCCTGCCGAAGCAGGAGACTCTGTTTCATTCCGGGCAAATGGGTGTTTAATCTCTTCTTGAAAACCTCCAGAGTTGGGAGAACCCACAACCTCTGGTGGCAAGTTGTTCCGCTGGTTAAATTTTTTCACTGTCGGTGAATTCCTCCTTCATTCTAGATTGGTTTTCTCCTTAATTAGTTATTATTTCTTTCCGAGGCTTGAACTACAGAATAAGGGAAGAACAGAAGGACAGAGTTGGAGGGGACCTCGGAGGTCTTCTAGTCCAACCCCACACACACACCCTATACCATTTCAGAGAAATGGTTGTCCAATTTCTTTTTAAAAAAACTCCAGTGTTAAATAAGGTGACCAGATTTTCAGATTGGTAAAGAGGGACACGATTTACCGGGGGAGGGGGGGGGGACTTGATTAAAATTTTTATATTTTGTCAAAAGGTCACAAAAGGCGATTACATGACCCCAGGACACTAAAACCATCATCAATACGAATCTGTTGCCAAACATCAAAATTTTGATCGCGTGACCATGAGGATGCCGCAACGGTCGCTAAGTGTGAAAAATGGTCATCCGCCACTTTTTTCAGTGGTTTATTTCAATTTATTTTGGATGGAATCTTTTTTTTAAATAGTCTAAGACAATTTAAAAAAAAGAATCCACCCAGAATAAATTGAAGTAAAACATTTCAAACTATTCCACACAGAATTAATTGAAGTAAACCTATTTTTAAAAAATTCTATGCACAATACATTTCAAAGTATTGCGCGTAGAATTTTTAAAAATGTTAAGTCACAGTCATATATCCATAAGATTCTGCAAATGGCTCTAAATGTGGGTCAGTGTTGAAGCACCCACAATTTCCACTGGTTGTTCCACTGGTTAATTGTCCTCCCTGTCAGGAACTTCCTCCTTAGTTCCAGATTGCTTCTCTCCTTGATTAGTTTCCATCCATTGTTTCTTATCTTGCCTTCTCATGCTTTGGCGAATAAGTTGCCCCCCCCCCTTCTTCTTTGGGGCAGCCCCTCAAGAATTGGAAGACTGTTATCATGTCTCCACCTCGTCCTTTTTATAATAATATAGCAAAATAATAATATGACAATAATAGTTTACANGATATTCTATCCTATCCTATTGATCCCAGCTAATTTCACCCAGCCAGTTATGGGATAATTTCCCACAAGATTGGGCTTGGCTGCACCATGAATTGGAATGCTAGCATAGATATTCATGCTGGTTGTACTACAAGTACTCCTACACTTGTTTCTCTTTTTTGATCTGGCTATCAAAGCCACAAGTTTCAAGAGCCCTCTGGTGTTCTTTTGTGTCTTGAAACTAAAAAAGATACCTTTTTTTTCATACTGAGAATATAGTCCAGGTAGGTGGAGCTCCTAGTACTCATGAACATTATAATAAAAGATACAGATATATCTGGACATGCTGACCAGGTAGGGGACTTCCTACCTGGTGAAAATGTTGTAGGCATCACGCATCATTTAGACAGATTGGTAGGTGGTGCAAAAGAAGCCATTGTTTGTGGTGCATGTTGGTACCAATGTTGCAAAGTAGTTGGGTGATCCCATAAGTCAACTATAGATTCCGGGATAGGATGTTGAAACTCAGGTCTGCTAAGGTAGATTTCTTAGGAAAATTACCTATCCCTCATGCATTAGGGCCAAATAGGGGAGAATAATCCAATCTATAGATCAGGGTCTGAATATTCATGTTTGTGAGGTTCTGCAGTATCTTTTGAGAGAAGCCATGTCTGTAGAAAAAAAGATGGCTGCACTGAAACTGGAATACATGAGACTGCTGGTGCATAATATCAAAGGCAGGAGATGGCAGAGTGGATTTTAAATTGATTCCAGGGAAAAGCTGCTAGGATGCAAGAAGCATTTGGTTCATGAAAAATTACTTCTGGAAGAGGGAGGGCGAATGTTTTTGTAAGTATTCAGGAGACAGGATAGAACAAGGAAAATAGGCTAGTCACTCAAGAAAGCCATAAGGTCACATACCAATTTCAAGGTTGAATCTGTATACCAGTGCGTATCTAAAAATATCAAGCTCTTGTAAGCCAAATGGGAGAGCTACGGTGTTTAATGTTAGATAAATCAAGTACTGCAGAAGCCTAGAGGAATGGAAATAATGAGTGGTATACGGTTTTCTCTAGAAGAAATTGCTACAGAAAAGTCAGGGAAGGGTGCACTTGGTATGGAGTTGCCCTGTATGTAAAGAGGCCATAGAATCACAGGAAGCAAAATAGACTCTTCCATTGAATCACTGTGGATGTCTGTTGTCTACTTGACTAAGAAGCTAGAGCTCCAGAGGAGAGGGAAAAGGAGGAATGAGAAAGGCAATTGAAAAACAAACAGCCATTCTAGATATAACAAAAAAAAAACAACCCTACATTTCTAGATACCTAAAAGACTGCAATCTTGAACAGCTGGACAAGGAATCAACAGTAAGAGATTCAGCATCTCATGTAATACAAAGTAGTGCTCCTACCCTTGTGGACTATGATGTTCATAATGTGGTCACTTCATATCAATGTGCATGCAAATGATGGCCTATTGAGAAAGCCTAGCGTAGTCACATTTAGTTTCAGAAAAGCAATTTAAAAATAAAAAGGAATTGGTGAAAAGGAAGTTGAAAGGGAAAGTCAGGAAGGTCAATTCTCTTCATAGTGCTTGGAGAGTCCATAATAATAATAATTGGATCTCGGGTAGAAGGAAGATATACTCGAGTTCAGGAAAGTCATCATAGCAAAATCCAGGAGGATGCCAGAGCGATGAATGAGCAGAGATGCTATTAAAGGCAAGGAGATGTCTTTCAAAAAGGAGAAATCTTTGCCCAGTTGAACAAAATAAAAAGGGACATAAAACACTGGCAAACGATAGCAAGCAATTGAAAAAAGATGCCAAAAAAAATTATTTTTTTTTGAGAAGCAGATGACAAAGAACTTCAAGATAAACAATAGGATCCTTCCAATTTATTTATGATCATGGTACTGTTGGTTGACAAGGGCAGTAAAGGTGTGAGAGAAAATAGGCAAACAGAGGTTCTGAATGAATTCTTCCCTTCCCTCTTGGCTGCTGAGCCTAAAGGACAAATGCTGGTTTCGAGACTGAATTTTTCCTGAGAAAAATTGGGAAACAAATGTAGGTTGCAAGAGATGAAGTTGCACAAGCCAAACGAAAAAAATCAACTTTAAACCAAAAAAAATCCTCCTGGACCCAAACAATCTCTACTCAAGGGCTCTGAAAGAACGTACGTAGGAAAATATTAATCTTTCCACAAAAATATGCAGCCTCTCTTTGACATCAGCTTCTATTTCTGTGGACTGGAAAAAAGCCAATGTGATCATAATTTTTAAAAACAGATCGAGGGGCGATAAAGGAAACAATATGGCAGTTAGATTAACATCTGTTCCGGAGAGCGTGATTGAGAGTATTATGAAAGAGAAAATAAGCAAACATATAGAAGAATGAACCTTGCTAAAATGAATCATTCAGGCTCCTGCAGAAGAAAACCTGCCTGCCCTATCCTTCTGGAATTTTTAGAGGTTATCCACAAACACACAGACAATGGCACTGGATAGCTAGACTTTCAAAAACCTTTGGTAAAATCTTTCACCTAGGATAAGGTGACCATATTTTCAGATTGGTAAAGAGGGACACCTTTGAC